TCGCCCCCAGGCCTGGCTTCCCCTCCCCTGCAAGCCTGCCCTCGCCCCCAGGCCTGGCTTCCCCACCGGCCGCCTGCTTGGCCACCTGTGGCCCTCCCTCATCTCCAGCTCATGGTGCCACCACACATGGGTTCTACCTTCATATTTTGAGAACCCAGCTGCTTCTCCCGCTTCTAGGGGTGTCACTCTGAGCCCCAACATCTCCTATTCCAGCCGCCTCCCCCCCTTCCCCCTGGAAGGGTGACACCCAGCCAGGGGACATGTTACAAGTCAGGCCACGCGTCCCCCTCCCCCCCCGGGCCCGTGGCTACCACGTCCCTCCACCTCTCTGCTCCCTGGGCAGCCGCGCCTCTCCCCCCCACCCCCCGGGGCCCCCTGCCCTTGGCCGGCTCTGGCCGGCTCCCACCTCAAGGCCTGGCATCGGCCTTCTCCTGCCAGAACACCTGCTCAGGTCACTCTGTCGCCTCTTTAAATGCCGCTCGGTGTCGTTTCCTCTGAGGAGCCTTCCAGACCTGCCTAACATCGTGCACTCGGCCCCCTGGTGCTGCCCCACCCTGCACGCCACTGTCCTCCCTCTCCCGTGTTGACTTACCTGCTGGGGCTCTGGCGGGCGGGGGTTTCTGTCTCGTTCACCCCCTGCCAGGAACAGCACCCGCCAGGTGCGCCATAAATCTTTGTTGAATGAATGGAAGCGGAGACAGGCGGAGTCCGCGGGCTCCGGGGCGCGCCCAGGACCTCGGCCCTCCCGGCCTCCCGGCCTCCGGCCTCACAGCCTCGCCCTCCCTGCAGACATCAACGAGTGCGTCACGGCGCTGCACACGTGCAGCCGCGGCGAGCACTGCGAGAACACCGTGGGCTCCTTCCTCTGCCTCAAGGCGCTCACCTGCGAGACCGGCTTCGAGCTCAAGGATGGCGAGTGCGCAGGTGCGACGGTGCCCGGAGGCCCCGCCCCGCCCCACCTCCCGGAGTCGCCACCCCGCCTTTATGCCAGCGCCCCGCCTTTATGCCAGCGCCCCGTGCGCCCCACTCCTGGCCCGCAGCCCCCCGCCGTCCTGCCCTGCCCTGCCCGCGCCCTCATCAGCAGGTCTCAGCACTTGGGTTTATCACCCATGTGCTGATGTTGGGGCCCGTGGGGCTTCTGGGGCCAGCCGGGGAGGCCAGGGTGTGCCCGGGGCTTTGCTGAGCTCGGGGATCCCCTCGCCATGACTGGGCGCTCCTGTTTGCTGCTGAGGTAGAACTTCACAGAGGCTTCGCGTCTGGCCCTTCCCACGGAGAATTCCAAGCAGAGGGTGGATTTCATGGGAGCTTCAGCAGCTTCTAGGCGCGGGGCAGGGGTGCAGCGCACGGGGCCCCCACCACAGGCTCTAGGGCAGGTGTGGCTGTGACTGCTTAGGTGGGGACCAGAGAGGCCCCCGGGGGCCGGGGGCTGGGGGCAGAGCTGGCGTTCTGGAGTGTGACGGAGGGGGACCGGGGCTGGAGCACCCCGGCAGGAAGCACTTCTTAAACCAGGGGCCAGAGGACCTGAGGACAGCAGCAGGGCCCGCGTGGGCCCTGGGATGGGCTGAGTGGCCTCGAGGCTGGGCCTGGGCTCCAGGAAGTGGGCACACAGCCTGCGCGGTGCCCAGAGTGGCACAGGGGGACCAGGGAGGCGAGCTGGGCCCAGCGTTCTGGGGGCCCGAGGTCGCGCTCCGATCTCACACCAGCCCCACGCTGCGAACCCAGACCTCTGGGGAGGAGCCCCCTCACGGCATCTGCCTGGTGCCCCCGCTTTTCTCACATCTCAGGGCTCCGACCCCCTGTGGAGTGGACAGGGACGTGCCTCCTGGCTTGTCTGGGGCGCTGGAACCTGGCGTCTCCCAGACACTGGGCTGCCGTGGGCCGGTGGTGGGGCCTTGGGAACCGGAGCAGGGGTGGACGGGAGGAAGCACGGAGGCAAAGAGGACAGCCGGACACGCGGGCATCCGCCCGTTGGCCCGGGGGCGAGTGTGCCTTTCCGCGTGTGCCTCAGTCTCCTCGTCTGTAAACACGACCTGATGAGCTTGCCATGCAGGAAGCAGGAGGGACAGCACAGGGCAGGTGCCTTATAAACTGGGGTGCTGTGCAGACATGGGGGGCAGCCCACCGGTCCCTAGAGCAAGGGCGGAAGGAGTGGGGGCAGCGAGGCATCCAGACTGCACCCTCGGGAGCTCCAGCCCTCGCTGCTGCCCGTGCCACTTCCCGAGCACCCCAGACACCGGACCTGGGGGTTTGGGCGCCGCCCGCCGGCCTGCCGCCCCCTGACCCCTGGCCTCTGTGTGGCAGACGTGGACGAGTGTGAGCTGGGCACGCACAACTGCCAGGCGGGCTTCGAGTGCCAGAACACCCAGGGCTCCTTCTACTGCCAGGCCCGGCAGCGCTGCATGGCAGGCTTCCTGCAGGACCCCGAGGGCAACTGCGTGGGTGAGTGGGCTCCCGCCACGGTGCGGGCCCTGGGGCCCTGGGGCCGAGTCAGGGGAGGGGCTCTGCGGGTTCTGGGGCGCAGCCAGGCCGGATCGCTGTTCTTGCCTCCTCCGGCCTCCCCGGGTCTCCGTGGCGCTTGCAAAATGGAAGCTCTTATCACCTGAGCTGTGGGACCTCGGCCACTACTTTCTTGCGGCTTCGGCTTACCATCTGTGGATTGAGGAGGCCGCGTGTTTCGCATTTTCACCCAGCCAACAGCAGAGTCTGTTTCCATCCTGACCTGCGACACACACCCTCCCCTCCTGCATGGGGCACTCGCCGAATGGGCCTTTGCAGAGATTGCTCGTGGGATCTCTGGGCTGCCGCTTGTCAGCATCCCACCTTGGAGTCCCCTGTGGACGTGGGGACAGACGGCAGTGTGGCAGCGGTCCACAGTCCCGCGCCTCCGGTCACCCCTGGGAATGGCGGCCCCAACTTCTCCACAGCACTAGCCCTGTCCTGCCAGGGCTGAGGCACCAGCGCCCCCTGCAGGGCAGAAGGCACCTTGTGGGTGGGATCCCTGCTGCGCTCAGTCCTGGGGAGAGAGAGTCCCCAGGGAGGGGACAGGCAGGTGCTAGACTTCTGCAGGGTGCAGACAGAAATACCGGCCGAGTTAGAACAGCCTGGTCACACCATTTACTCACAAAACCAGCGTGTGGGACAGGCATCCGCAACTTCCAGGCAAGCCCCAGAGATGTTGATGGGGTCCGGAGACTCTCCAGAGGTTTTGGGGGCCCCTCTTCCCAGTCTGGGAGTTGGGGCTCTCCCCGAGGTGGAGCCTTAAGCGTTAACTCAACAGTGCCGCCAGACTGGGTGCGTGGGACACCCCAGGGGTCTGCCGGGGATGCCTGGCCAGGGTCTGGCCGGTGGGAGGGGTCTAAGCCACCACCGCGCCTTGATTCCATCCCAGACTGGTTTCCTGAGCATCTGTCTGCCCTGTGCCACACTTCCAGATGTCGGGAGGCCACGGAGGATGAGCAGGGTGTTTTGGGGGGGGGGATGGAATACTCAAGTGCTGCAATACTAGCGGCAGTTATTCAAGGGTGCTTATAAATAATAAACCCTGGGGGGGGGCTTTTCTACCTAGCATGATCAGGAGGGCACCCCAGAGGACGTGATGTGGGGCGGGGGCCAAAGGAAGTGAGGGAGCAAGCCGTAAAAACATCAGGGGGCAGGGAGGGGGAACAGCACGGGAGGAGGCTGTGCCCAGTCGTCCTGGGATGATGTGGCCACTGAGGGGACAGTGGCAAGAGGTGGGAGGAGCCACGGCTGGACCGGCAGTCTGGCAGTCTCCTAGGCCCAGCCTTGATTTCCCCGGGCGCCTCTCCAGCTGCTCCACGTGGGAAGTAACCACAGGCGCCGGGTCCTGGGAGCTGAGGGCGTGGAGGGTCAGACCCACAGACCAGGGCTGGTCTGGAGCCCAGAACGGGCCACCGCCCGGCGTGGCCTGGACCCAGATGCCGAAGCCTGAGGGGGCCTGGCCAGGCTGTCCGTCACCCCCACCCCTCCCGCAGACATCAACGAGTGCACGTCACTGACCGACCCGTGCCGGCCCGGCTTCAGCTGCGTCAACACGGTGGGCTCCTACACGTGCCAGAGAAACCCGCTGCTCTGTGCGCGAGGCTACCACGCCAGCCAGGATGGCGACAAGTGTGTGGGTAAGGCAGCCGCCCACCCGCTCCCCCCGCCGCCGGCCTTCCGGGTGCCCGGCCTGTCCCGAGGCCCGCGAGGGGGCAGAGCCCGGGCCTCAGGGGACCCTGCTCTCCTCCCTGGCAGATGTGAACGAGTGTGAGACGGGTGTGCACCAGTGTGGGGAGGACCAGGTGTGCCACAACCTCCCCGGCTCCTACCGCTGTGACTGCAAACCCGGCTTCCAGCGAGATGCCTTCGGCCGGGGCTGCATCGGTGAGTGGGGGGCTGGTGCCCGCACCCCGGTCAGTTCCCAGGCGCCCCCCCCAGCTGCCGCCCCCCCCCTTGCCTTGCTCCGACCACTCCGGGCCCTCTGGGCTTCAAGGCCGCCCTGCTGTCCAGCTGCAGCTGCTTCGCTGCCCAGGTCTTTGTGTCGCCCCATTCCCTGGCCGGCCGGTCCCTTCGCGTCTCTCCGTCTGGGTGTCTGTCCCCTCTCCACCCCCTCAAACCCCCCCCCGCACCCCCTGCAATCCCGGGCGGCCCCTAGGGATGCAGGGGCTGCTTCCAGGGCACCTCGTCCACCCTGTGCCTGACCCCCACCCGCAGACGTGAACGAGTGCTGGACCATGTCCGGCCGCCTGTGCCAGCACACCTGTGAGAACCTGCGGGGCTCCTACCGCTGTTCCTGCGCCGCGGGCTTCCGGCTGGCCGCCGACGGCAAGCACTGCGAAGGTACCGCTCCCCGACCTCCCAGCCCGAGGCGCCCGCCCTGCAGCCCCCCCCATCCCTACCTCACGCCGCTTCTCAGCGTCCCGCCTCCCACGGCTGTTAGTGAGGCCACGGGCCCTGGCCTGCGCAGCGCGGTGCCCGTGGAGGCGACGAGTCGTGGCTGGGCCACCCACCGGTCACCGGCTCCCTCACACACGTGCCCTCCCGTCATTTTGTGCGAATGCCACGTGTCTCGTAAGGGGCTAGCGATGGGCGGGGCCACAGCGGCCGCTCAGCGTGATGGGACTCCCGCCTCCCTCCTCTCCCCTCGCCACTCCGCTCTGACTACAGAGCCCCTGCTGCCCGGGCCTCTGCTGTTGCACCTCCTCCCCGGAATGGCGGCTCTGTAACCCCCTCCACCGAGTCCCGTTCCCGCCCCGCCCCCGCCACACACACACACACACTCCCCTTTCCTGTTCTTCTCCCACAGCACCTGCTACCTTCTGACCTGCCAGGTACTTTACTCGTTAGTTCCCTACCTGCCCGGGAGCCCCCGCCCCCATCCACTCCAACACACATGAGCTTGGAATCGCAATTTGGAGATTCTGATCCATGTTCATGGCCGTGTCCCAGGCCTGGTACAGCCTGGCATGTCCCGAGCACTCAGCAATTCCTGGTTGGAAGAATGAAAGGCAAACCCCTTCCTGCGGGGAGGTCAGAGCCCAGTAGATGCCCAGTAGATGCCCAGTAGATGCCCCGCCAAGCCGGGAATCTGTTCTCCACACACTTCAGCCTACACTCATGTGCACCAGCTCTCGACCCCACACGCCCACTCGTGCCAGCCCCAGGGGTCAAGGCAGCAGGGAGGCCCCAGCCCCCAGGGAGTCAGCACCCAGGCGATGCCCGCACCCCCCGGTGTTCGGGGGCAGCACCTGGCACCCTGGCAGGGCGCCCTCCTCCAGGCAGCTGGCCCGGACTCACCAGCAAGCCCCAGCCTGCCCCTCCTCGGCTGCCTGCCCTGGGTGAACCTTGGCCCTCCTCCGGGCGCCCCACTCCCTGGTGGCCCCCAAGGAGGCTGGCACTCATGGCTTCTCAAGCGGAGGCTGCAGGTGGTCAGCCTGGCCCTCCTGTCCGAGGGACGGACCGCCACGACCTGCCTGTGTCCCCGCAGATGTGAACGAGTGTGAGGCCCAGCGCTGCAGCCAGGAGTGTGCTAACATCTACGGCTCCTACCAGTGCTACTGCCGCCAGGGCTACCAGCTGGCCGAGGACGGGCACACCTGCACAGGTACCGCTCCCTGCCCGGCCGCGTCCCCGGGGCACACGCCTGTGTGCCGGGCTCCCGAGTCCCGTCTGGCCGGCCGCGTCGGACTCCCGGAGGCCTTAGCCTCACACGTGAGTCCAGGTCTCAGCTGGGAATTCCTGGACCTCGGCTGACGCCTCCCAGCTCTTCTGTGAAGTAGCAAGGAAGGTCCTGACCTTAGAGGGGCGAAGGGTTAAGCGAATTACAGGCCCCTGCTGGGCCCCCCGTGGGTGGAGCCCTCCCCGGGTGGCTCCAGAGCGTGAGCCCCCGACGGATGGACGGACGGGGAGTCCGTTTTGCTGCGACCTTTGGGTCCTCCCTCTGAACCCTGATGTCCACATCTATAGCACGGGCCCCTGGGCTCGCCGGCGTGACAGGCTAGGCCTGTCAGTGGCTGCATCTCTGTAGCAAGGGGCTCACGCGGGGCTGACCTGCTTCCTGACAGACATCGACGAGTGTGCGCAGGGCGCCAGCATCCTCTGCACCTTCCGCTGCCTCAACATACCAGGGAGCTACCAGTGTGCGTGCCCGGAGCAGGGCTACACCATGATGGCCAACGGGAGGTCCTGCAAGGGTGAGCGAAGGGGTCCTGCCCCGCCAGGGGCTCAGGCAGGCTCTGGGTGGCACGGAGAGCCTCCCACAGCCGTGTGCTGGGGGCTTGCAGCAGGCGTGAGTGTGACCGGCGGCCATGTTACCAGAGGTCTGTGCATAGAACGAGGAAGGTGAGAGTCTTTTTGCTGGTCTTCCCAGCTTAGACTCTTCCGGGTGTGAATTCAGCTCTGGACCTTCCCCTGGGGGCAGGACAGGACTTCTGAAAGATAAGAGACCTATCTGGTGAGAAGCCTGGAGCAGAGCCACCTCAGGGTTCCTGGGGAAGTGGGGGACCCCTGCAAGGGGGACCGGTAAGTGGGTGGGCCAATCCCCTGTTAAATTTACAACCGAGAGGACGACATTTCTGGGTTTGGACCATGTCCTACAACAGCTGACCTTCTCAGCAGGAGGTTCATGATTCCAGGTTCTGTCAAAATGTACTGAGCTCAGTGAATCCTGGGCCTGGCCAGGCGCTATGCTGAGGTGGTGGGGCCTAGAATCCACTGGGCAGGACGGACAGGGCTGGCAGCTCCCTGCCCTCCAGGCTGTGTGACCGGGGACCTGAGACCCCCAGACTCTGGCCCACCACGGCAGGTCCTAGTGTTCCCGGGCACAGGGTCAGAGCTGGCGTTCAGGGGCAGGGAGGTAGCCAGTGCTTGGGCTGCTGGTGTCTACTTGTAAATGGATCCTAAGGTTGGATTCGTATTTCCCAACCAGCAGCTTTTTCCTTTTCCACCAGGGTGGAAGCGCGCAGTGGGTGGGGGCGGGTGGCAAGGGGTTGTGGGCTGAGTTCTTCCTCCCAGGCAGCCATTCGGAGACCCGTCTCCAGTGGGGGCCGCGGAGGCCCGGGGCAGGGACCCCAGTTGTGAGGGTCCCTCCATCGCCCCCCTCGCCCCTCCCTAGATCTGGACGAGTGTGCCCTGGGCACCCACAACTGCTCCGAGGCCGAGACCTGCCACAACATCCAGGGCAGCTTCCGCTGCCTGCGCTTCGACTGTCCCCCGAACTACACGCGAGTCTCCGAAACGTGAGTGCCCACCTGGCCGCGGCCAGGACGCTGCAGCGCCTGCAACCCAGGGAAGGCGAGGGCCAGTGGTGGCCATCGCTCCCTTCTGCTGGTGACAGCCCGGGGTGCACCTGTGCAGATCAGAGGGTTCAGGGGTGAGGGGGGAGAGACTCAGAAGCACCCCCTCTTCCCCTCCCCCTCCCCCTCTCTCACACACATGTTGCCTACTGCCTGTAACCCCAACACCCCAACACCCCAACACCCCGCCTCTGCGGTGCTGAGCTGTCCCCACCACAGCCCGCTGGCCCAGGCCTCCTGGGGCCGCATCATCCCCAGGCTCCCGGAGGGCTGCAGGCCCCCTGCCCCCTTGGCAGCTCTGGACGAGGCCTCAGCTCTTCAGCTCTTTACCACTTGGGCTTCCGGTGGACGCCCCAGGCTGACTGACTCCCCGCACAGGCTCGGAGGGGCGCCCCCCCTCGGAGGCATCTGCCCGGCCACAGCCCATCGGGGTGGGGTACCTGGGCAGTGCTGCTCATCGGCCTCCCGCCCACGTGCAGCCGGGGCTGAGAGCAGCGCCCCCCAGGGTGGGTGTGAGCACCCACGGGCTGAGCGCGTGCAGCAGAGCTGGGCTGGCCGGCGAGCTCTGGCAGGGGCCTCCGGGGTAGCGACGCCGGGCGTGGAGATGCGGCGGCTCCCGGGGCCGGGAAGAGACGCCATGTTGCCGCGCTCGGAATGGAGAAGGGCTGGGCCCCCTCGGGGTTTGGGGGTGTCCTGCTGCTGTCCCCCAGCAGGGCCCGCGGGGACTTCCCACAGGGAGGGAGGAAGGCAGGTTGGCAGGAAGGGAGGTGCGGAAGGAGAGAGCCGAAGGACGGGCGGAGGGGGGTCGGGGCGGGTGAGCCCCTCAGCGCGCCGGGTGCCCGCGGGCTGAGCAGAGCGCGGGTAAGGCCCACCGTGCTCCGCGGGCGGCCGGCGCCTGAGGGCCGAGCTGGGCCAAGGGGCCTGCGGCGGGCAGCGCTGGTCCTGGACAGTCCCTCGGGGGGCCCCAGAAAGCCGGGGGGCCCCGCCTCCGCTGACCTGCCCCCCGCCCCCCGCAGGAAGTGCGAGCGCACCTCGTGCACCGACTTCGCCGAGTGCCAGGGCTCGCCCGCCCGCATCACCTACTACCAGCTCAACTTCCAGACCGGCCTGCTGGTGCCCGCGCAGATCTTCCGCATCAGCCCGGTGCCCGTCTTCGCGGGGGACACCATCGCCCTGACCATCACCAAGGGCAACGAGGAGGGCTTCTTCGGCACCCGCCGGCTCAACGCCTACACGGGGGTGGTGCACCTGCAGCGGGCCGTGCTCCACCCTCGGGACTTCGCCCTGGACGTGGAGATGAAGCTCTGGCGGCAGGGCTCGGTCACCACCTTCCTGGCCAAGATGCACATCTTCTTCACCACCTACGCCCTGTGAGCCGGCCTGCTGGGCTGCCGCCTTTGTCCTGACGCCGCCCCGCACGTCTCTGGCCGTTCACCCTGCCAGGGTGGGGCTGGCTGTGGGGCTGGTTGTGTGCTGTAAATTAACTTAATTTTGCTGACCGGCCCCCCTCGGGTTCCCGGGCCTCTCCTGTGCGGCTGCCTGGGCCCGAGAGGGCACAGCGGCTGGAGGACGCCGTGCGCAGGAGCTCAGGGCAGCTCCTGGTCACCTTGGGTCGCTGCGGCGGAGTGGTGGCCCTGAGGGCCGGTGGGGGACCGAAGACTGGAAACAGGGACCACGCTGGGGCTTCTGAACTCAGCTGCGTGACCTGTCTGTCTCCAAGCTTGATATTCCATGTTATGTTTCACTGTGATTAGTTCTTTACTTAAAAAAAAAAGCATTGTGTTTTTGTTTAATTACAAAAGTAGTCCATGTACGTACCTTGCAAGAAAATATTCATTAGTACATAAGCGTTATAAAGTAAAAAAAAAAAAAAAGGAGAAAAGAAACTTCCCTCTACTTTGTAAAGTGTTTGAGTGTGATGTCTTTGGGGTATCTGGGCACCCCAGTGGGGTCAGCGCCTGCTCAGGCTTCCCTGAAGTCTCCAGGAATTAACCCTGAGCCAGCAGTTCCTCTCGGGGGTGACAGGAACAGTGGAAGCTTTGTCATGGTCCCTTTCTCCAAACGTGGGCCTCAGCTTGTCACTTTGGGGGGCCAGGGACCCCAGTCCTGATCCCTGTCACCAGACCTGAAAACATCAAGTCACATGTGGGAGGCATCTGGAGGCTACGAGAATTTTATCATCTAGGGGTCGGGGGCTTGGTGTTGGGGCCCCTGGGGGTGCAGGCCTAAGCTGAGCCCTGGGGGGACGTACCCAAAGTCCAGGCGACAGTGAGAACGGCCTTCGCACCCAGGTCCAGGCCCGGCACTGCCTCTGCCTCTGCCCTTTTTGAGCCAGTCAAGCACGGCCACTCCCTCCGCCCTGAAGACAGTGAGGGAGGGTGGGGTGCTGGCCAGTCTCAGGGCTCCCTCCTGAAGGGGAGACTCGTTGCACGCCCCAGGCGAACACACCGACTCGTGATGCAAACTATTTCATGCTGTGCGCCCTGGCCCAAGCCAGAAGTGCCCATTCCTCAAGGGATGTTCCCAAGCTACCTTTTGGTGCAAACCCCCCCTGTTTCAAGGTGTGGTCACTGAGTAAAGCTTCTTCACAACAGGTGGGAGCCAACTCTGAGGCCCTGGGCTGAAGCCTGCCCTGTAGGCTGCTGCCCTGTCTCCCTGCCCCTTCCCCCACCTGCCCCTCTGGCTCTGTCTCCCGGGCGGCCCCAGGCTGGGGCTTCCTGCTCACTGCCTGCGCTCTGTTCCAGCTGCTCCTCGGGTTTGCAGGGAGACGGCCTGCAGCCCTGGGGCAGTCAGAACCCAGGTTAGAGGGATTGGGGGGTGGGGCGGGCAAGGCAGCACCTGCCCGCAGCCACTGGCCACGCCCACAGCGCCCCGGACCTGGGCCCAGGACCACCACTCCCTGGGTCTCACTTACCCGTCAGTGGATGGGAACACGGCCCTCCTCCCCGCCTGTGTCCCCAGAGCTGCTGTGCTGATAGACGAGCCACTCGGACACGGCGTCTGGCATGACACAGGTTCCTTCTGGCTTAGTTTGCAGCGTCTGGTGATCCTAGAATCCGGTGCCTGCAAACACGTTTCCCACCTGCTGCTGCGCAGGTCCCCAGGATGGAAACCTCGCACGTCCGTGCGGCTATAATGCCCCCTGGTGGCCGCAGCCCAGACCTGCCCTCGGCCCGGCCGACAGACGGGCGTCAAGGAGGGACAGGTGATCTCAGGGGGGCACGGGACGCGGCGGCGCGTGTCTGAAGAGCAGGGAGCAGAGGCCAGGGGGCCGGGGGAGGCTGGGGCTGAGAAGGGGTGCGCTGGAGGCTGAGTTCGCGGCGGCCCTCCAGGGTGTGCGTCCGGGCGACGCCCCGACTGCGGCAGTGACCTGGGTGGGCACACGGCGACACCTGGCGGTGGTGCTGGGGGTGGCAGGTGTGTGCCGCCTGAGGCCGTGGGCTCCCTGGAACCTGCTCCTCTGCCCGACCCAGGGTGCCACGACTTCCCGTGCCCAGGGAAGCCGAGGGTGCCATGGCTGCGAGTCCAGCAGGCAGCACCCACCCTGTTTCAGCGCACACGGGTGGGGGCCCTGCAGAGACCCCAGAGGCGGTGGACACACGATGAGGACTCTCCACCGCGGGTGCCGTTGGGGCATCGGAAACCACGACAAGACTGGCCCATTACAGAAAGCACCGCCAGCGGGCGGGTGGGAGCCTCGACGCGGTCAGCACAGGTGGACGCGGGGCGCGCCCGACTGGCTGACACGCACGGAGCGAGGCCCTGGGCCATGATGACTGTCCACACCCGGGCTCACCGGTAGCGGATGAGCAGCTCTGCGGGGGGCGGCTGCACCTGCGAGGACACGGGGTGTGGGGGCGTCGCACTTCCCGCACCCTATCGCTGGGGGCCCGACTGCTCTGAGAAACACACACCTTACCGCCTGGCCTAACAGGCCTCGGGACGCTCAGTCACTGCCATGATGAGAGAATCAAAGGGGCCGGTGGACACGCAGAGAGACTGTTCGCTGGCACCAGGGGAGGCTTCCTGGAGTCGGCGCTGCCTCCAGCGGGCGTCGGCGGCCCAGGGAATACCACCCAGGTGGAGGTAGCAGTAGCAGACACCCAGGTGTGAAGTGCTGAGGGAGCATCAGGACTTCCAAGGTGCAGAGTGAGGGTGCACGGAGAGGTAAGCCACAGGAGGCAAGCAGGGGGACTCTGGGTGCTGTCCCGAGAGCGTCACAGAGGACCCGCGTCTGGGTTTGCCCAGGCGCTTGCGGGAGGGCGCGCGTGGGGGTGGGGGGGGTGGGTGCACGGCGACACCTAGCGGCGGTGCTTGGGGCTGCAGGCGCGGGCCAGGTAGCGGCTGTGCAGACCTGGCTCGCTGCAAGCCAGAGAGCCCGAGTGGAGTGCCAGGTGCGTGCGGGAGCAAATCCGGGGTTTTGTGAACACAGATGCGCAAATGGCATCTTTTTTTTTTGCCACTAGCCTGTAATGGAAGCGAAGGGTTCCCTGTCATTAGGAACGCAGGCGACAAAACCCACAGCAGCGTCAGCGTGTTCACATCTCGCCATCTCAAAATACGGTTTATGCTCAGCGGGACTTTGAAATGCCTGTGGGTGCCCGCCCTGAGGCTCGCCCACGCTGTTCCGTGTGTTCTCAAAGAAGCCCGCACTGTGCCATGTCACAGGCTTCTTTTGAGTGTTGTGATAACTGTAATTTCAGCCTAATTGGCATTTAAAAACCTGTAGGCGTCCTCAGACTGCCAAAGGCGTTTCTGGCGCACACACAAACACCGGCCCGTGCACAGAGGCACACGCTCACCTGCATAGGGGCACGGAGACAGGCGCGTGGGCACACACAGGACGGCTGAGAACCCTCCCCGGAGCCAAGGTGCCACCACCAGGAGCAGCTGACTGTCATTATTGTCTAGAGCCATGCAGCTGAGTGAGAAAGGCGACCGTGGGGATAAACAGACAGTCTGCAGGAAGGAGGCCTCTGTGCTTGCATGTCTGTGCAGGTGAGGTGAGCGTGTGGCTGCATGTTCCGGGGCAAGGGTGTGTGCGGAGGGGCTCAGATGTCCTTGGGGTGGCCAGTGGCCTGGAGTGGGGGGGTCTGCCTGGCCTCCTGGAGCATGACAGGTGGGCTACATGTGTAGCCCAAATTCACCAGTTCTCTCTCTCCCTTCCATGATCACCCCCAGGCAGAAACAGGCCCAAAGAGGTGGGTCACACAGGGGCCCCCCATGGACGAGGAGGGCAAGACACCGGGCCTTTCCGACCTCAGCACCTGGCCTGCCCCGTCTGGTGTACGAGGAAGACATCTGTGGCTGACCCAACAAAGGAAGGAGTCACCTGTGGCCACTGTGCGCAAACCCCGTGGTGGCTCCCCACTTCCCATGGCATCAAGTCCAGGTCTGGCATCCTGGACCCTGCCGCTCCTGCCTCATCGCCCACAACGCCCTGTCCACCCCGTTTGCCAGTCACCCCACCACTACCTCCCGGCTTCTACCATGCTTCTGCCATTCCGTTCCCTGTGCTTGGAGCCTGGCAAACTCCTACTCACTCTACAAAGCCCTTCGGCGGTGGCTCTCCCTTCTTTGTGCCTGGAGTCCTTCACAAATCCCCATAACCCTTCTCAGAATTTACTCAGATAAACGTCCACTCTGAGTGCCCAGCACATAGCACCAGGCACTAATCAGTAGGCACTAATCAATGTTTACTGAGCGAACAAGCAAGCATGTTTGTGCAACACCCTCCCCCCACCCCATGAACGGCTTTCGAGAAGGCTGGCTCCTGTCTGGCCATTCAGCTGGCCAAGGGTACAGCTCCCTGCTAGAGGAGCAGGGCTGGGGGGGGGGGGGAGGGGCGGTTGGGTAGGGAACGCAGGTTGAGGGCTGTGAGCTGCCAATACCTGAGGCACCTACTGCAGACCCCACTCTGCCTGCTTTTGGAGGGGAGCTTGACTGTTGCTCCGACACAGGCCCCTCAGTGGGGCTCAGCTCTCTCTCCTGCCCTAGAAGGTCAGCACGGGGCCAGGTCCTGTCCTCTTCTTGGTCCATTTATCAGGTCGGAAGCTCGAGGTTGGTCAGGCCTGGCTGGGGCCAAGTTTTCTGTGCTCATCCTCCCCACCCCAGACCCTCTGACCCGTGAAACGCGCCAGGAAGGGTGGGGACAGGAAGGGGACAGTGGGTCTCAGTGACTGCCCCGGGCACTGTCAGCGTGTCAAGATTTATGCCTCTGTGTTCCCTGTGGTCACCAGGCTGACGCCGTTGGGCCCAGGCTGAGCCGAAGGAGCAGGAGCGGCAGCCCCTGCGCTTGGGCCCAAAGTGCACACAGCCCACCCTGCCTGTCACTTCCCCAAGCCTCAGTTTACACCGCAGTGATGGGCTTGGTCCTAGTGGCCACGCTGGGCCCTTTGCATAGCATGTCCACAGCATTTCTGCCCACGTCCAGTCTGCAGGGTCCACTGGTTGTCTGGGTCTGCCCCAACCCCTCCCCGAATCATTATACTAGGTACCCCCCATTTTCTTTTGGGGAGCTCCCCACTCTCACCCACTGGTCTCAGCGACACAGTGTCCTGCATACCTCTGGCCTGTCCCTTCGGGATGGGGCTTAAAAAGGGAGGCTTCTCCGCAGGCAGCCTCGGGAGCGAGCACTGGCTCAGGCGGGCGAGGAGGAAGGGCAAAGGCTTTCGGGCATTTTGCTGGCCACAAACCAAGTTCCAGAAGTCACAGAGGAAGGGACAGAGGGGGAGGCGGGCTGGGTGGGGTGCCCCGGAGATGGCGGACACGTTCTGCTCATTCAACCCTCCTGAAGTCCTACCTGCTGGACCCTCAGAACATTCCAGAATCTGGCTCTTCCCCACCTCTCCTGTCACTCTTGAGATGCGCCTGGACCA